AGTGGTTAAGTGTTTTTACACACTTGAAGGGAGTTTTGTTCCCTTTTTGTAATTTGGAGAATGTTTTCATTCCTATCGTGTAAAGTCTTGGAGTGTGGTATCTCCGAGCAAAAGGCGTTGACGCTCGTGTGACTCGAGTTCTCAAGTTGTATCGGTTTGTTGAGCACCTTTAAGCTTAACGGAGTTAGTGTAACTCGAGAGAGCCTCTCATGAGGCTAGAGTAGCCACACGTTGTGGTGACCAGGGTAAAATACCGTGAGCTCCCTCCTTACGCTCTTTACTTTACCTTCCTCGTTTTAAATTCCTGTGATTTTGTTTTAAACGCTATTCACCCCCCCTAGCATTGGGCCATTATTCTAACAAGCTAGGCCGCTATTTGCTATTGGATGTTATGTTGATTGATGATTTTGATGAATAATTATTATGGATGATTATGATTTGATGAACCTACTGATTAAAATGATTATTGTGAATTATTGAACCATGATTTAAAATGAATACATTGATGATTATGAAATGATTTGTATTGTGAGGATATCTAGAAGAACTCTAAGATATATACATGTTGACATTGGTTTCTAATACTATCTAGAAGACATCTAAGATAGATTAGAAATAGGCCTTGCGGGTATAACTATGAATATTCGGTGGCCTAGGTAAAAACGTACGTACGGGATCTGCAAACCAAACTTGAGGATCACTCGTTTGGGGATACCACCCAACCCGACAGTGAGCATTCCGCTGTTCGGTTTCTGGTTGACCTTAAGTGAAGTTAAGTTTAAGATTTTGAAAACCTCTTTTGAAAATTTGTATCTTAAACTAGGCCTAACTTAAGGATTGGTTAGGAGTACCTTAAATTGGAATATAGTTTAAAAACCTTAAACTAGAATTCGTTTAAGAGTTGGTTAGAATTAGTGTCTTCACTACGCCAAAAACAGTATCAGACGACTGTTGATTAACTACTGTTAATGGAAACACAGTATTTGGAAAAAAACAGACTACTGTAAGTTTTTCTTGGCAACAGAACAGTAGTCTAGGTTGTATGCTTTAAAACTATTTTTAAAGTTTCAAGAAACGGTAATGTATCATTAGTTGTCTGTGTTAGTTCAAAATACAATTTTTCTTACAACAGTTGTCAATAACAAGTTAAGAATACTCTATTTAAACAAATAGTCTAGGCTTTTAGTCTACAACTGTTTTTAAACTTTTTAGAAACAGTTATGTGTTGCTTGTTGTCTGTTTCATATGGTATTTTGCCACTGTTGTTTATAATTGTAATAGAAGACTGTTTGGCAACAATAGTCTATGTATTATGGGTAGAACTGTTTTTGAAGCTGTGAGAAACTGTTGTCCATCATTAGTAGTCGGTTTCATCAAAAAATACAGTTTTTATTGCCACAGTTGTCAATAATTAGTTAAGACTACTACTTAGTAACTGAAGTCTGGTTTCTCGGTATATAATTGTTTTTAAACTTATAAGAAATAGTATTGTATTGTTAGTTGTATGTTTCATATGGTTTTTTTGCAGAATTGTTTATTATAAGAATAGAAGACCCCCTTGTAACAGTAGTGTATTTATATAGCGTAGAACTGTTTTTAAAATTCATAGAAGCCGTAATCTATTACAAGTTGTATATAATAAGTTAAGAATACCATTTTTAAACAATAGTTAGACCATTAAGCCTATAACTATTTTTAGAGTTTGTAGAAACCGTAATGTATTACTAACACACCATAGCTCAAATAGACCCCAATAGTAGTTCAAACACCCCAAACATAATAGAGATTTCCACTCCAAACCATAGTACACACAGCCCCCAAAGGAGTCTGCTGTTCGAAAATGACAGCTAGGAAAACCAAAGTTTCCAGCCCTAATCAAGGCCAGGAACTTATTCAAGGCAAGTAGACCCGTAGCAATGGAGAAATGGACAGTGCTCGAGACCAAGAAAATTCAAGGAGAGAACACTCATTAATGGATTACAAATTTAGTTAAGGAGATGAAATGCACCCTAAATCATGACTAAAATGCACTAGAGTCGGAGAAAAAGAAAGCAAGAAACCCGGGAAATTGCAGTTTGAAGTTCGTCTGTGAACGAATTCTTACATATACTGGAAATCCAACTTCAGAATCTTTTTTAGCATCCCAAGTCGCCCAAGGATAAAATGTAAATTATTATCACCCCTACTCAGAACGGTACATCAATGTTATATGTTGAACCATAAAAATGGTTCCACACATGAAATGAATACAACAACAATACAACTATACCACAACTTGGCACGCAGGCCGTACAAAAAGAAAATCAAAACAGCAAATCTGTAGTTCCATGATTTCAAGTACCTATCCACATCAAATGGCAGGCCATAAAGCAACACAAACCTGTCCATGGAATCCACAAGGCAGCTTGCAAACTCTCAAAGAGTCCTAAAAATGCAGTAGGTCAGCCCATATACTGCACAGGCCACTTCAAGTTCAAGTTGCATTTCAGCGGAATCAAACCCAATAAGTCATAAATCAGCATCCAAACAACCCAAAAATCAGCACACTGCATTCACAGCCCAAAAAGAGGTACAAGCAGTGGTAAGGCTGCCCAAGCAGCCACTCAATTCCCCCTGCCATCATGCCATTGTCCAAGTTATGGCTAACCAAAACAATGTTCATTTCAGCACATAGGAGACCACCACGAACCAAAACAGCTGCTCTATCAAATGGTAGGCCACCACGAACCAAATCAGCCCATAACACATCCCACAAGTTTCCGAGCTCAAAGTTAAACTTCCCACTCAATTTTGGTTCAAAATCAGGTTTACCCAACCAAAACAGGAGTGCTAACCAGTTGTTTTTGTTGCAAAATCTGCACAAAGGCCTCCCCTAGCAAGGAGAAACCAT